TATATATATATATATATATATAGTAAAAAATTTATTGACAAACACTTTTTCTCTCACTGCTGGCATTTTACCCAGATGTTATAGTGTTGGGGAATATTGCGCACAGTCTGGAAGCGACCATATTTGTTGTACTTTCTTATCATGAGCTGTGCTACAGTTCACCCAAACATGTGTCGGACTTTAGAGTGTCAGTATGTGCTCTTCCTTTTGGCTACAGCCCTGTCAGGAGACAGAATGCAGACTTTTTATTTGTTTTGCAGATCGTTTGTTTCAGTGAAATTCACTGAAAGCAAAGTGCGTAGAAAGTACCACATGCACAATGGCAGAGAGTAAGACAGAAGTATCGACCTGTCTGGCTGTGCAGACAGTCAGCAAACACCCACAGAAATGGAGACAACCGTGAACTACAAAGCGGACAGGAAATCAGCTCGTCGCATCTAGTTCAGTGTGAATCAGATTTATTTGATTTAATGTCTGGTCGATGTGTCCTTCACAGGCCCTCTTTTGCAATGACCTATTGCAGCTGGCTGCTGATTAAAGCAATAAAGAAAAAAAATACTACAAGGTATGAATGCCACGTTTGCAGTTTAAAACATGAAGGCCTGCAACATTTGTGAAGATGACGTTTATTTTCTAAACATAACGCCCCGGTGGCTTTTAAACCCCAAAATGCATTATGGCAAAGACTAGTTCATCCTAAAGATCCAGTCCCCCGGCACAAACAGAGTAATGTTGTGTATGTTGTTCAGTGTCAGGAGGGCTGTGATCAGTCTTACATCGGGGAAACTAAACAGCCACTGGCCAAAAGGATGGACCAACACAGAAGATCAACATCATCAGGCCAGGACTCTGCGGTCTACACTCATCTCCAGGCCAGCGGTCACTCTTTCAGGGATGAAGATGTTCACTTCCTGGACAGAGAGGAACGATGGTTTGAGAGAGGAGTAAAGGAGGCCATCTTTGTGAAAAGAAATTGTCCATCATTAAACAGGGGTGGAGGCCTCCGGGTTCATCTGTCCCCCCCTTACAATGCTGTGATTGTTAGTATCACTCAGCCCTCTGTGAATAGTAAACAGCCATCAGTGTGCTAATGATCCATTGTTAGGCTGATGGTCCTTCTTGAGCATGTGATCAGCTGGTTTTGGTTGTCAGCAGCAAACTGGTTGATCCACTCTGAGAAGGTGCTATTTAAGAGACTGAGCTGAAAACAGCACCTCAGACTGAGGAAGTCTTTCGGATGAAAGACGAAGTGTTTCTATTTTTTTTTTGTTTTGTTTGTTTTGCTTTGTTTTGTTTTTTGAATGTCCAGAGGACCAGATTAAACCTTTTTTTTAGATTTTTCTACCTGGATTATTGAGCATGTGTCAGGATATGATAATTATAGTTTTAGGTAAAGTTAAGGAAAGCCAAAAAGCTGTTTATTCTATCAAGCATAAATTGCAAAAAAAAAAATATATATATATATATTTATTATGCACATAGGAAATGTATCTGGTCAGATATACAGATAAAATTGTATATTAACAAAACATATTAATAAAAATAAACAAGTTTGTTTACAAGCACAGTGGCGCAACTGGTAGAGCTGCTGCCTCTCAGCGAGCAGGTCCCCGGCTCAAACCCCGGTCCAGGGGCCTTTCTGGGTGGAGTTTGCATGTTCTCTCCGTGCATGCGTGGGTTTTCTCCAGGTACTCCGGTTTCCTCCCACAGACCAAAAACATGCATGTTAGGCTGACTGGTAACTCTGAATTGTCCCTAGGTGTGAGTGGGAGAGTGAATGGTTGTTTGTCTCGTTTGTCTTTATGTGTCCCTGTGATGGACTTGCGACCCGTCCAGGGTGTACCCCACCCCTCATACAGTGATTGCCGGACATGGGCACCAGCGACCCCCGTGACCCAAAATGGAATAAGCGGGTAAAAATAATGGATGGATGAAGTTTGTTTACATTATATATTTTTCTCAAATGTAAATTGCAAACTGCTTTACAATAATAAAAAAATATATTATTAAATGCAATAGGAGTCATGCCATTAAAATAACAACAAATGATTAAAATAATAAATATTATGTCTGAATAAAAGGTATTTAACTGTTTTTAAAGGAACCATCATTGTCAGTACAAATTAAAAAATGGCTCTACAGCCGAGGTCTGGGTTGGGGAGCAATCCTCCAACTCAGGTTGTGACACTGCAGAGCCCTCAAAATTACAATAAAGACCAAGATTTTAAAATGAATTTTAAAAGTAACTACTACATGGTGGGGAAACAAGGGAACTTTCCTGCTTTTTTTTTTTTTAATGTGAGGTAACTCCAAAAAGAAGCTATTATGACCAAATAACAGTATTTCAGGTTATATTATAAATAAATGGTAAATGGACTGTACTTATCTAGCGCCTTTCTATCTTATCAAGATACTCAAAGTGCTTTACACTACAATCAGTGCCCTCATTTACCCATACAGCACTCTACTAGATCTATACAAAGAATAGTCATTGCTTTAGATCACATACATACACCGATGGGACACACATCAGAGGCAATTAGGGGTAACGTTTAAGTGATATTATTTCATTAATTTTGATTGCAATATATGCACACTGAAGAAACTGCTTAAAGGAAGCTTGAAATAACTTGGACAACAATTTAACAATTTAATCAAGGAACTGCTGCCCTCTAGTGGTCGAAATCTTAACTCCTAATACCAAATAAAAGTCAGGTCCTGTCTGCTGCACGGTTTCTTTTTGTACGTTGTCCAGAGGACCAGACTTAACTTTGTAGGATGTTTCTACCTGAATTATTGAGCATGAATAATGATATGAACTCCTAAGAGGCCTACTTGTAATTATTTTCGCAGAAAGAGAAGGAAAAAATAACAACAAACATTTAATTAAATGTGGTAATAAAGGTTGGCAAGGTGCACACGAGAATATATCTATAACTTTAAATATTATAATACAGAGTGCGCACAGGAAATAAGAAGTGATTCATAGTGCGCTACATAAAACGCACGCACACACACAAAATCCCATCGGGCTTAATGAATGCCAGAAATGTGAATTACTGAAATATTTTTCGAGGAACTATTAGGATGAGAAGTATAGCTGTTATTCATTTTAAAAGGAACATCTCAAATGATAAAGAGTGCAGGTAAAGAAAGTAGCCAAAATTGGGCATTTTAACTTGCGCATGCGCAGTATCAGTACGTTTCATAGCGCAGACTTCCGTCAACACAATATTGGAAACCGGAAGTACGTTCAGAATGTCATGTGATTTTTAGCTTGCAGCTCTAACTTAGCATGTAGCGCACATCAGCTGGTTTTAAAGCAATTTTAAGACGGTATGTGAACTTGTTTTTGGATATTCATACGTTTAAACATTTGTATCATTATCAGGCTGTTGACAACCGGAACTGTTAGCGTCTGACTTTTATTCACATAAAATAATTTCTGCTAATTAGCTGCCATGTTAGCATTAAAGCTCCTTAAGTTTGTACCTTCACTTCAGTTTTTTTATTTGTGGAAAGCTTTATTATGTAATATATATATTTTTTTCCTTCACACAGCCATTCAGAGACAGTTACTGATATTATTACCGTTATGGCAGATGTAAGTATGATCTAAGTTTAATTCCCTTTTTTACAGTTTATTTTTTGTTGTTGATGTTTTTACATAAGAAGAAGAGGAAACTTTTACCACATGACTGATGATAAACGATGCGGCGCAGTTTGGTTTGTTGAAGTCAACATAACATGCATGTTGTGTTTGGATGTAGCTGTGAAGCTAACTTCCGTTTCTTAATGTACATTTGTCTCAGATTGTTCCGTTTTATTTTAAATCTCTGCTGAGAGTCTGATCTGTAGATTTCTGGATTACGACAACAAATCGTGTACAGCTGTTGACTTGCAGGCAACCGATTTTATCAACAACAAAAGCTTAAATCTTGTTTTGAAGCTCAAATTCAAGCCACGTCCTATTTGTTTATTTCCTTCTAAGTTAAAAGCAAAACTCATCATTTCAACAAATAACAAATAGGACAACAAATAAAATATTAAAGACTTACCTGAGGGTCAGTTTTATCTCTAGGTAATAATTAGTTTTTTGTATATCAGGGAAAACAATAAACATGAATTTGACCAAATTTGTATTTATTGATTAAAAATAAAACTTATAATTAAACACTATTCAGTTCAGTTTATGGAATGTGTAGTTTAACCATGATGCTCTCGTTTCTGTTGATTTATTTAAGATGTAGAATACAGAAGCATCTAAAAAATATTAGAATATTTTTAGAATATATTTTTTGTCACTCATTGCAGAAAGTGAAATTTTTGTTATATAGATTCATGACGCACAGAGTGAAATATTTCAAGCCTTTATTTCTTGTAATTTTGATGATTTACAAACAATGAAAATCCCTAATTCAGTGTCTCAGTGAAATAGAATATTCCACAGTCAGCTTTTGTACCTTTGTCAGTGTGGGCCTGTGCCGAGTCCTGCTGAAAATGAAATCAGCGTCTTCTTAAAGCTCATCAGCAGAAGGAAGCATGAAGTCTCTAAAATGTCCTGATAGATGCTGCGTTGACTTGAGGACTTCAGAAAACAGTGGACCAGCGTTAGCAGAGGACATGGACCCAAACCATCAATGATTGTGATCTTTACACTGGACTTTTAAGCAACATGAATTTTGGACCTCTCCACTCTTCCTCCAGACTCTGAGACCTTGATTTCTAAATGACATGCAAAATTAACTTTCATCTGAAACGAGAACATTGGACCACTAATCAACTGTCCAGTTCTTTGCCGCCTCATCAGGTAAGACGCTTCTGACATCTCTGGTTCAGGAAATGACTGGACTTGAGGAATGAGACATCTGTAGCTCATGTTGAGGAGTTAAGCAGCTGATCAGGGTGTGACACCAGGAGTTTACAAGATTGACTCTTCACAATATTCTCAATTTTCTGAGACACTTGTTTCATTATCTGTAAGCCATAATCGTCAAAATAACAAGAAGTAAAGGCTTGAAATATTTCCCTCCATGTGTAGTCCATCCATCCATTATCTTTACTCGCTTATTCCACTTTGGGTCACGGGAGTCGCCGGTGCCCGTGTCAAGCAATCACTGCGAGGGGCGGGGTGCACCCTGGACGGGTCGCAGGTCCATCACAGGTTTATAAGTTTCACTTTCTGAAATTATTGAAAAATAAATTTGAACTTTTTCACGATATTCTAACTTTTTTAGATGCACCTGTAAATTTGACCGCTTAGTTTAGGTTCATATAAACCACCAGCTTTTTCAGCATTTTAATCCAGCTCCAGCATGTTTTTTATTTTGCAGGATTTAAAGAGATTCCTGTACAAGCAGTTGCAGAGGTTGGTGTTGTTAAAGAAACACAAAGTTATCAGTAACTTCTTACATGTTTAATTTATAATCCTGTTTAATCTCATTCAGTGTTGAAGGTCTTCATGCTGTTGTGGTGACTGACAGAGACGGCGTTCCAGTTATTAAAGGTGAGAAACCAGTTCTGAATCATCTGATTGCATCTAAACACTGGTTCAGTTAAATCAAATGAAGCATAATTTCACACTGCCCTGGTAGCATGAATATGTATCCATGTCTCTCATTGCAAACAAAGTCCATTAAAGAAATTAACTTCTATTGACACAGGGGGCACAGAAATATTACATTACACAGCCAGGCCAGAAATTTATGACATTTATGTGACATGCATGATAGGCTGCCTTCAGGCCCAGGCCTCCCTGGAAAAAGAGATCAGTGATCTCAATGGGATTTGCCTGGTTAAATAAAGGTTAATAATTTAGGGACCAGTTTACATGAACAGTTTCCTCGTTATTTATTTGTAAAAACAAAAACGCGATGCCTTATTTTCTAGTTGGAGTCTTGTAATCAGTATTGTTAAATATACCAAGGTGGTACATTTACTGAATTTCTCTAATGAAACTGTGAACATAAAGTTAGTTTTTGTTTAGAGCAGCTTATTTTTTAGTCTTTGGTCTAATTTGCATCAGTTTGCTGGAATTTAAGTTACTGGAGGTTTGTGTATATTTATTCAGACTATTGAATGATGATGATGACGTTCTCTAAAAATCACTGCTGTATTTCTGCAGTTGCCAATGACAACGCCCCGGTCCACGCTCTGAGACCTGGCTTTCTGTCTACCTTCGCTCTGGCCACAGATCAGGGCAGCAAACTTGGCCTTTCCAAGAACAAGAGCATCATCTGCTACTACAACTCCTACCAGGTAAACATAATCACTCACCGTGCAATCAAAACCTATGCCTTGTGCTTTTAGGCCTCCTTCAATAGTTTCGAGAGTCCAAATGAACTGGGGTTTTCCTTCATTAGTCCTGAACAAACCTGCAGCGCAGCAATGCTTTCATATGTTAAATTAATTTATAAAACACATTTAAAAACAACAAAAATGGTTAAATCATGTCATCTGGACCAGTTTCTTTAAAAAAACAACCAGTTTCTTTCTAAAACAACTGCTGTTGCCTGATTACAATGAGTAGAAGGTGTATTCTCCCAAAATAGAATCCAGGGGAGCATTTAAATTGAGAATAATACCAGCCGTGAATAAAACCCTGAGGAACGCCATGATAAGGAGGAAGAGAATAACTATAATTCTGTCAGTTCTGCAAAAATCTGCACAATATTAGACCATTAAAAAATACATCACAGTAACTATAAACTGAATTGAAATTTTAGGCCTCATACAGCTTTTATTCCGTTTCTACATCCAACTTTTACTTTAACTGATCATTTCCTTCAGTCACATGATCAGCGCCCCTAAGATCTTGTTTATTAATTAAGTTATTCCATTTATTTTACTAAAGAGTTCATCAATCCACTTTTACCTTTTTTATTCAGAATCATGGAGTTATGAAATATTTTAGTAAATTATTATATTTATATTTGTCTTCAACGTGTCATTGGTCTCTTGTAAACGAGACTAGCAGTTTAAATAAAGCTAAATAAAATAAATACAACTTTGCATAACATTGAAAAAGACAAAAGTATTTTGGCGCCTGTTTGTATTTAGTCTTAACTTGGTCTTAGATTCCAAAACACCTTTTTGTTTAGTTTAAATTTGAATCTCGTGAAACTTTCATGAACTTTTACAAGCTTTTCTAAACAGTTTGCAAATTTTTTTTTTAAAGTCTGAATGTATTAAATGTTTTTAATGTTAACCTTTTTAAAAAGTTAAAGACAAAAGGGAGGAACTGGGCCTGATTTGGGGTTTAAAGCCGATCATTTTTGGAACCCAAATGTGACAAAAACTAAATTTTAGACTTTTTTTTTTAATCTCCTGCCAGCTGCTATGTTTGTGTCAGCATTAGCACTTTGCTTTTCTCTCGTGGATTCAGCACTTATTCGTCAGTCAGACTTTAAGGGGAATAACTTTGTGGTAATTGTATGTCTGTGTTGCACAGATCGTGCAGTTCAATCGTCTCCCTCTGGTCATCAGCTTCATCGCCAGCAGCAGCGCCAACACAGGTAACTTCTGTCTGAGAGTTTTGGCTCGAGTAGTTTCACTCTCATTCTGAAATCACTGAAGTTGAAATAATTATTGAATGTGATTAACAAAATAATGTTGTGAATTTAAAATGGCTAAACAGTCTTTAACTCCTCAGTATGGTGATAGTCTGAGTTATTGTGGGTCACATATTTACCAATGATGATGGAAGGTGATGCAGCTCTGTGTTTTGTGTCCTCAGGTCTCATTATGAGTCTGGAGAAGGAGTTGGCTCCACTAATAGAAGACCTGAGACAGGTTGTGGAGGTGACATAAGCTAAGATTTACCAGACAACCTGCTGCGATGCGTTCACGTCCCGTTTGAAAACCTGACCGCTGTTTGCTTTCGTGTGGACCAGTTTCTTACTCGCAATGAAACTTTGCTGTAAACTTTCGCTCAGTCGACTTTGCTTTCCAACATTTCCGTGGCGTTAAAATCAAAATAAAGATTTGAATTTTGACAACGAATGTAGTTTTTTCTTTTATTATACATTTTATTATACATTTCATGTTTATTACGGCAGCTGTAGCTGAGACGTAGCTTTTGTAAAGTTACCAAAAACAAACCCAATGATTTTATACAAACGTAAAGATAATAAAATATCAGCATGATACAGAAACGGTAAATTACATAAAATTTACAGATGCTCAAATGGTGCAAAAATTTACAGGAAATTTTGATTTTGGGAAAATATGATATTTTACATTAAAGTGATTTTCTAAATAATCACAATGTCGGGATTTTTTTTATACATGAATTGGTCATAAGCAATGTTTTCATCCACTGATGAGGTGACAAACATTAAATACGTTTAAAGATGGCTGCACATCTGAAACACTCAAACCCATAATGCATTGCTTCTACTGTCCACTGCAATGTGCAGCAGAATCTGACACGTCTGAGTCTGCAGCAAATACAACATTCATAGTGATGATAGAGGTAAACGGATAAATGCCGGTGTATTTTTAGGCTTGAGACTTTAAAATGGTTGTTTTTTTTCAGTGGGAACAACTGGAAGAGTTTTTTTAAAATGACTAATCACAGAAAAACTGATCATCTTCAGATGTCCAGAAACGTTCCCGACTTTCTTCATTCTCTCAGTTAACTGCTTTCTTGTGTCTGGAGGGACGGCAGTCATCGACCTTTTCTTATCTGAGACTAAAAACAGAAAAGGTAATTACTGGAAAACTAATACACAACGTACCAAACATTACATATTCATATCTGCCTGCATATAGTATTTCTGCTTTGTAAATGTTTTAATACATATGTATGTTAGTATGTATGTATGTATGACTCCTGACTTCACTAATCAAAAAGAAGCTTCTTTATTACCCAGGCTCCAGTTTATTCATGTTTCAACTGACTGACTGGCTCTCAATCAGTCATTATTTATTTATACGGCCCTTTACAGGAGCCAAAAGGTGCACAAAGAGCTTCAGAATTCAAAAGTTAAAAACTAACAAACTATACAAAAATGCTAAAGTGCCACTAATTATTAAAAGCCTGCCTGAATAAAAATGTTTTGAGATTAGATTTAAAAAGGTCCAGGTCAGTGATGGTGTGCCGTTCATACAGTATTCGGTTCCACAATCTGAGTGCAGCGACCGAAAAGGCCCGGTCCTGCCAATGTTTGTATTTGGACTTTTGGACAAACATTAAAGACGTATTAGTTGAAATTAAGGTCCTCTCATACTCATGGAAAATAATAATAAATCAGCTAAATGAGGTGGGGTGAGACCGTAAGAGCTTTAAAAGTGATCAGTAACTGCCTTTTCCAGTTCAGGACGATTTTTTAAAAAGACCTGAGCTTGGATAAAAGACATAACTGAAAACTTCTGGCCTCCACTATAGAGGTCAAAGTTGAAATCCTTGTCCAAGGTCACCCCCAAGGTTTTAACTGTGGGTCTAAACTTGGATGTCAGAGCACCAAAGTCACAAGGAGCATCATCACCAAAAAAAGATAGACTGTCTTTTCTTCATTTAACAACTGAAACTTTTGGTGCAGCCACTCTATAATTAACTCTTTTTTTAAACTTGTAACTTGATGATTTGTCTGTTGAACTAAATGATTGTAAGACTGGGTGTATGGTGGGTAACCATCTTGTAAATCATTTAATGTACGCAGACAATCTGGCCCTGTTGTCTCCCTACAGTGCTGGATTGCAGCAGTTACTCAGGGTCTGTGCTAGATATGGTGTCCAGTTTGACATCATGTTTAATCCTAAGAAGAGTGTTATGATTTCTACAACTAAGGAGGATCAGAAGATGAATTCCTTCTTTTTATTTAGAAAATCAAGTTTTGTACGTGGTGAATAACGTGAAATATCCTGAGGGGTGATCTCTGATGATGACGATGATGATGTGAAGCGACAGTGTTGTAAGTTATACATGCAAGTTAATATGTTGGCATGTAAATTTAGTACGTGTGACCCTTTTTCGAACTTATTTCACCTCCTTTTATACGGCTCACTTCTGGTGTAACTAGAGTAAAGCTATAATGAAGAAACTGCAAATAGCCTATCAGAATGCATCTATCCTCCTCAGACTTCCAAGATGGATATCTGCAAATCAAATGTTTGTCATGAGCAACATTTCAACTTTTCATGCCTTACTGAGGAACTTCATGTATAAATTTATGTGACGCTTGGGTGTATCAAACTTTGTAGTAAGAGCTTTGTCAAATGCAATTTATTGTGATACTAGATAGACCTCAAAAATTAAAAAAATATCAGAATAACTGTTTGTCTGCTTTGTGATGGATGTGTTTGTCTTTTTTACTTGATGATTTATTTTATTTTATTTGGTATGGACTACGTTTTATCTCAAAATAAAGAGATATAATGTCAGCTCTGTAGGGTAGGAACATAGATCGATGGGTAAATTGAGAGCTTGGCCTTTTGACTCAGCTCTCTCTTCACCACGACAGACCTGTACAGCGCCCGCTTCACTGCAGACGCTGCACCTATCCGCCTATCGATCTCATGTTTCATTTTTCCCTCATTTGTGAACAAGACCCCAAGATACTTGAACTCCCCCACTTGGGGCAGGACCTCCTCCCTGACCCGGAGAGGACACTCTACCCTTTTCCGGCTCAAGACCATGGCCTCGAATATGGATGAACTGATCCTCATCACGGCCGTGTCGCACTCGGCTACGAACCGCTCCAGTGAAAGTTGTAGATCACTATCTGATGAAGCCAATAGGACTACATCATATGCAAAAAGCAGAGACACAATCCTAAGGCCACCACAACGGATCCCCTCAACACATTGGCTGCTGTTATGTACCCTAGGGTGCCCTAGTGACACCTTCTAAGTTTTGTACATGAGCTGCAGTTGTTTCTTCTTGAGCACGCCTCTCTATTTTAATCACCTTAATTGCAGTCAGCTTGGGAGTTCTGACTGAAGCTCCTATATAAGCTTCAGAGTGTGGTTCTTAGAGTGTGGAGTCGAGGAACTCAGAGGTGGTGGTGCTGCTTGCTGCAGTGCTGTTTGGTACTAGGGTGTTCTCCGCCCACCCTTGTTGTCTCGTTATGAGGTAAGCTCCTGTTGAGGAGATATGAAAGAGCTGCTGAATGCTTTTTGTTTAAGATTTAGGCCTGGGTGCTTAATATATGCATTTAGACCTTGAGTGTGTTTGTGGAAGCCTAGTTCAGCTCAGGTAGAGGGGCCTGAGCTGTGTGATTGTGGACTTTTGGGTGTTTCTGTTTATTGTTCAGGGAGGTGATTTTTTGCTGACCGTGGACGGTCCTGTGATTTGGGTCAGTTTTGTTTCTTTCCTCCCGTTAGCTGTAGTCATTCAGACTAAAGCCCTCTGACTGGGTGAGATTTGGTAGTCCTGTTTTTCGTATTTTTTCTTTACTCCTAGACATCTTTTGGACAGGTAGTCCGCTGTCTGTGAGGCTTCGACGACCCTGTACAGGGTTGGCCCTGCTCAGACGGCGTTATATTGATTTTGGCCAAACTCACCTGGTCCACCTTTCGTTTTATTACTTTTACTTTCTTTTTGTTTGGTGACACGGGTCCTGAAGAAGGTGCTCTCCAGTCCAGGAGGGAGGAGCCCACGAAGACTTCGCCTGCTGCCCGGAGTGAATTATAAAACTTGGGTTAATAAAGTTTTATTTTTAAACCTTCTTTTGGTGTCCTGTGTCCCTTTAAATATGTTAGGTCTGAGCCGGTCGTAACAGCTGCACCTAGAAATTCTATCCATAAAAGTTGTGAACAGAATCTGTGACAAAGGGCAACCTTGGCGGAGTCCAACTCTCACCGGGAACAAGCCCAACTTACTGCCGGTAATTTGGACCAGGCTCTGATACCGGTCATGCAGGGACCCAACAGCCGGTATCAAAGGGCCCGGTACCCCATACTCCCAGAGTACCCCCCACAGGGTTCCCCGAGGGACGCGGTCGAACGCCTTCTCCAAGTCCACAAAGCATAATGTAGACCAGTTGGGCAAACTCCCACGCACCCTCCAGGACCCTGCTGAGAGTGTAGAGCTGGTCCGGTGTTCCACGACAAGGACGAAAACCGCACTGCTCCTCCTGAATCCGAGGTTCGACTATCCGACGGACCCTCCTCTCCAGAACCCTCGAATAGACCTTATCAGGGAGGCTTAAGACGGTCTCTACGGTCCCCCTTTTTGAATAGGGGGACCACCACCCCGGTCTGCCAATCCAGTGGAACTTCACCCGATGTCCACGCAATATTGCAGAGTCGCGTAAGCCAACACAACCGTACAACATCCAGAGCCTTAAGGAACTCCGGGCGAATCTCATCCACCCCTGGGGCCCTGCCACTGAGGAGCTTTTTAACCACCTCAGTGACCTCAGCACCAGAGATTGGAGGGCCCGACCCAGAGTCCCCAGGCTTCGCTTCCTCAGTGGAAGACGTGCCGGTGGGATTGAGGAGGTCTTCAAAGTATTCTGCCCACTGACCCACGACATCCCGAGTTGAGGTCAGCAGCACACCACCCCCACTATAAACAGTGTTGGTGGTGTACTGCTTTACCCCCCTGAGACGCCGGATGGTGGACCAGAATCGCCCCAAAGCCATGTGGAAGTCATTCTCCATGGCCTCTCCAAACTCCTCCCATGCCCGAGTTTTTGCCTCAGCGACCACCCGAGTCGCATGTCGCCTGGACTGCTGGTACCCATCAGCTGCTTCCGGGGTCCCACAGGCCAAAAAGGCCCGATAGGACTCCTCCTTCAGCTTTACAGCACCCCTCACCGCCGGTGTCCACCACCGGGTTCGAGGGTTGCCGCCATGACAGGCACCGACAACCTTGCGGCCGCAGCTCCGGTAAGCCGCCTCGACAATAGAGGCACGGAACATGGCCCACTCGGACTCAATGTTCCCCACCTCCCCCGGAATATGTTCAAAGTTCTCCCGGAGGTGGGAGTTAAAGCCCCTTCTCACAGGAGACTCTGCCAGACGTTCCCAGCAAACCCTCACAATACGTTTGGGCCCGCCAGGTCTGACCGGCATCCTCCCCCACCATCGGAGCCAACTCGCCACCAGGTAGTGATCAGCGGACAGCTCCGCCCCTCTCTTCACCCGAGTGTCCAAGACATGTGGCCGCAGATCAGATGAGATGACGACAAAGTCGATCATCGAACTGCGGCCTAGGGTGTCCTGGTGCCAAGAGCACGTATGGACACCCTTATGCTTGAACATGGTGTTCGTTATAGACAACCCATGACGAGCACAGAAGTCCAACAACAGAACACCACTCGGGTTCAGATCAGGGGGGCTGTTCCTCCCAATCACACCCCTCCAGGTTTCACTGTCATTGCCTACGTGAGCATTGAAGTCCCCCAGCAGAACAATGGAGTCCCCAGGGGGTGCACTTTCCAGTACCCCCTCCAAGGACTCCAAAAAGGGTGGATAATCTGAACTGTTGTTTGGTGCATAAGCACAAACGACAGTCAGAACCCGTCCCCCTACACCCAGGCAGAGGGAGGCCACCCTCTCATTCACCGGGGTGAACCCCAACACACAGGCACCAAGATGGGGGGCAATAAGTATGCCCACTCCTGCTCGGCACCTCTCACCAGGGGCAACCCCAGAGTGGAAGCATGTCCAATCCCTCTCAAGGAAACTGGTTCCAGAGCCAGAGCCATGCGTAGAGGTGAGTCCAACTATTTCTAGCCGTAACCTCTCAACCTCACACACCAGCTCAGGCTCCTTCCCCACCAGTGAGGTGACATTCCACATCCCAATAGCCAGCTTCTGTAGCTGAGGATCAGACCGCCAGGGTCCCCACCCTCATCCACCACCCATCCCACGTTGCACCCGACCCCTTTGGCCCCTCCCACAGGTGGTGAGCCCATGGGAAGGGGGACCCACATCTCCTCTTCGGGCTGTGCCCGGCCAAGCTCCATGGGTAAAAGCTCGGCCACCAGGCGCTCGCCCACGTGCCCCACCTCCAGGCCTGGCTCCAGAGTGGGGCCCCGGTGACCCACGTCCGGACGAGGGAACATCAAGCCCATTTCTTTTTCTCATCATAGGGGCGTTTGAGCTGCACTTTGTCTGGTCCCTCACCTAGGACCTGTCTGCCTTGGGTGACCCTACTAGGGGCAGGAAGCCCCTGACAGCATAGCTCCTAGGATCATTGGGACACTCAAACCCCTTCACCACGGTAAGGTGGCAGCCCAGGGAGGGGAAGAAAGAGCAGCTGATGAAATCTTGGATCTTTCAGTTAAAGAAAAAAAAAGGAAGTGTGTCAGTATGAACCAAGCTGTCAGTTCTGTCACTTTCAGTCTTTGTCACAGTTTTATTTTCAATACTGAAATACCTGATTGGCTGCATATCTTGCAGTCACATCATGTTGTAAGAATGAATTTCCCCTCAGCAGCTCATTCTTGTAAATTAGGATTTTTTTTTTCAGGAAAGTCTTAACAAATGTCCACTGATATGCTGCACGTATAGCTCTTTACATTAACTCTTTCTGTTTAGCCAAAAGTGAACCTAGAGCTGCTCTAAAACCACAAGCAGTAACAGTTTTACAAAGGCAGATTTTGAAAGGCAGTGCTGTACTTTTTGGATTCAGCCAGCCATTAATTTGTTTTAACTCACCAGTTTCCACTGAAGGATCTTGATCCACTCATCTGCCTCCACTCCTGTTTTTGAACAGAGGTAAAACGTTCGCTCGGGAAACACCAGGCTGTGGACGGAGAAACACGTTGAGTAGAGTCCTGCACACCGTCCAAAGAGTGGACACAAAATGATTTTTCAATATGAAGAAGATGCTCTGACCAGTTGGTTATAAGTATTATTAATTGAATATTAGGGGGGAAAGCATTACCATATTTTTCATCCATCCTAGTGCACTAGTGCTTATGCGAATCAGTTTTTGAAATACATCTGATTTGACTGTCAAAGTATATTTATTAAGCAAAAGTTAGACTGAGACACAACTTTATTATAATTTTGAGCAAACAAATAATTGTTTTTAGGTGCATGGTTATCTTGTTAAATTTGCACAGATACTCGTCGCATAAATCCTCCTGTGCACGCTCCGGCAGCTGCCATTTAGCAGCCAATCGATTTTTCGCACAACCCCGGCCCACATTTCTGGGTTGTCTGTAACGTGTAACAAACACGACGCGTCAGCGGTGACACATAATAGATGTGACGTATACAGCGAAGCAACATATTTATGGATTTTCCACTTTTTTAGACATATTTGGACTGATGCAACTTATAGGGTGGTGCGACAAGTAGGGCGAAAATTATGGTAGTTGTTGATTTTTAATCAGCTGCTTTGAGCTTTAGATGCATTTTCCTACTTTTATTTTGAAATGTCACCCAAATGTGCTGGTTTACGTATTGGCATTTTGTTTTTCTCTCCTCCGTTTCATTAGTTATTTGGTTTAGTGTGTTAACCTTTTTATCTTCCTCTTTTAGCCGTTTGTGTTTCTTTTTTCTTCTTCTTCTTTTAGCTTCACATTTTGTTTAAATGGCCTTTACCTCTCAACCTTCTCTCTACCAGTGACAGATCCTCTACGTCTGATGTTGCAGGGATTGTGTTCTGCTGTAAAAACAAATCAACTGTTTTCTATTTTGCAAGGTGTGAAAAACCGAAACACCTGCTTCCTGCGGCGGTTAATAAACTGAATGTAAAAGTGTGCCAATATCGTAAACCTCGGTGAAGCCACAGGCGAGTTTCCTTCAGTCACTCACAAACTTCCTTTTTATGAAACATAAATGTCAGATGTTGCTGCTGAGGGGAAGTACATCATAGAGAAAAACAAAACCACTGAAGCATTCTCTCTGGACATTCGTTTGTTTTGTTCTGCAGATGTTCTTGGTGTCGATGTTTGCGACTTAATGTCATGCTGTAAATCATTTTAAGACCATATGCTCAAAAAACATCTGTTAAAAAATGTTCTAGTCGGGATTCAAAGCTTGTCGTAACACAGAAACAGCATGGATGGAAGTTACGGATGATATTTTTTTGGTCTCAGACTTGTAAAAATTTCCACCTCTATCTTCTACAATTTATCCAAAGTTGGCTCACGGAGGCAAAAGGGCCAAACGCAGCCATCCCGCTCCAGCTCCTCCTGGAGGACCCCAAGGCATTCTCAGACCAGAAAAGATACACAATCCCTCCAGCGACTTCTGGGTCTTCCCCCGGACTTCTTGCCAGTGGGAGGTGCCCAGAAAACCTCCAAAGGGAGGCATCCTAATCAGTTGCCTGAACCACCTCAGCAGACTCCTTCGATGCGAAGGAGCAGCAGCTCTACTCCCAGCTCTCCCTGGATGACGGGGCTTCTCACCCTATCTCTAAGGCTGAGTCCGGGCACCCTACACAGGAAGCTCATTCCACCACCTGGATCTGGTTCTTTTGGTCCTGATCCAAACCTCATCACCATAGGTGAGGGTTGGAATATAGATAGACCAATAAATCCAGTGTTTTGCCTTTCTAATCAACTCTTTCTTCACCACAACCAACCAAAGCAACTCCCTCATTACTGAGGATGGCACCCCAATCATCATTCTTTTAGGTATTTTGTTTTAGTAATACCCTTAAAAGAACTGCTAAAGTACAAAGTGGTGATACTACGATGTAACCAGCATCCAAATAACATTAAACAACTCATAATCTGACTTTTATTTTGGTCATGTCGGTCATGTTTTTTTAATTTTATACTGTAGCTCCGTCAGCTAACATTAGTAGGAAGTAATGTTTCCTCTAAGCTGCACACCTGCGCAGTCGCGCACTGCTTGCACATTCTCTGCGCACAACACAATCTATGTTGCGCAGTTGTGGACTGGCCATTGCGAGCACCCGCACCGACCGCCAAGGAGCTGGACCAAAGGCTTGGTTCCGGTTGTGCACGACTATTTTAAATAAACAATGCATGCGGCTCACTCAGGTGTCCGCCTGCCTGAGTGAGCAGCGAGGGGACAGAACCCCACCACCATCCCGTCCTCTTTCCCTCCCAGGCTGTCTTTCACAGCAGAGACACATACACAACAGCCCACTCTAGCCTGTAATGACTCGTGCTCACCAGGATTATATGTTCGTGCGTGCACTTCTGTACGCAGTTGCGATTTTAGCCTCTTTTTTTAGGGGTGCTCAAGCACTCTTTTGATTTTGATAACGTTAAAAGTGCTGTATTGAGGGCATATGAACTTGCACCTGAAGCATATCGCCAGAAGTTTCTTAGATTAAGAAAGCACTTTAATCAAACTTATGTAGAGTTTGTAAGAGATAAGGAAATTATTTTTGATCGGTGGTGTGCATCTAGAAATGTTAAGGAGTTTGCACAGCTTAAACAGCTCATTTTGATGGAAGACTTTAAAGATTGCTTGCCAGAGAAAGTTGCCACTTATTTAAATGAAAATAAGGAAGTGGATGTGTCAAAAGCTGCGGTGCTCGTTGATGAATGTATGTTAACACACAAAGTTAATTTTGATCACCCACACAACTTTCATAGATTTGAGAAATCTAATGGTAATGGAAAGGATTTTGTAAAAACTGTTTTTTCACCTGTGGAACGAGTTAAACCTGCTCTACCAGGTGGCAGTGAAGGAAAATCTGTTGCGCTGGAGTCAAAAACGGACAGTGGCACGTGCTTTTATAGTAAAAAGAGTGGGCACATTTTGGCTAACTGTCCGGTTTTAAAGAAAAAGAACTCCAAGCCTGTTGCTTTGATTAAAACTGTAAATCATGTTAATCACTCACTTTCATCATAAAAGCCATGTGAGTACGCTGACTTTAAACCTTTTGTTATGGATGGATTTGTTTCTATGTCTGGTAACGGTGAGAGGATTCCTGTGAAAATATTGCGGGATACTGCTGCCTCCCAATCCTTTTGTTTTGGAGGGGATTTTACTATGTTGGTTTTGATGTTCCAGTTTGTGGTTTTTGTATGCAAGACATTGGTGTTCCCTTGCACAAAGTTATGATCCAGTTTGAACTGTGGTCTGGTGATGATGTGGTTAGGATGCGCCCTACTTTTCCTATAGTGGGCGTCTCCATGCTCATGGGAAATGATTTAGCTGGAGGTCGAGTATTAGTTACTCCTGACGTTACACCTGTCCCAGTATTGTACACAAGTCCAGATGAACAAGAGATCGTGTCAGAAGCGTCTCGCCTGGGCCAAAGACTGGACTGCTGCTGAGTGGTCCAAAGTTATGTTCTCTGATGAAAGTAAATTTTGCATTTCCTTTGGAAATCAAGGTCCCAGAGTCTGGAGGAAGAGAGGAGAGACACAGAATCCATGTCGCTTGAGGTCCAGTGTCAAGTTTCCACAGTCAGTGATGGTTTGGGGTGCCATGCCATCTTCTGGTGTTGGTCCACTATGTTTTCTGAGGTCCAAGGTCACCGTAGCCACCTACCAGTAAGTTTTAGAGCACTTCATGCTTCCTGCTGCTGACCAACTTTATGGAGATGCAGATTTAATTTTCCAACAGGACTTGGCACCTGCACACAGTGCTAAAGCTACTAGTACCTGGTTTAAGGACCATTCTATCCCTGATCTTAATTGGCCAGTAAACTCACCTGATCTTAACCCCATAGAAAATCTATGGGATATTGTGAAGAGGAAGATGTGATACTCCAGACCCAACAATTCAGAAGAGCTGAAGGCCACTATCAGAGCAAGCTGGGCTCTCATAACACCTGAGCAGTGCCACAGACTGATCGACTCCATGCCACGCCGCATTGCTGCAGTAATCCAGAAAAAAGGAGCCCCAACTAAGTATTGAGTGCTGCACATGCTCATACTTTTCATGTTCATACTTCTCAGTTGGCCAACATTTCTAAAAAAATGTAAGTAAAATTCTAATTTTCTGAGATACTGAATTTGGGGTTTTCATAAGTTGTCAGATAATCATCCCCATTAAAAGAAATAAACATTTGAAATATATCAGTCTGTGTGTAATGAATGAATGTAATATACAAGTTTCACTTTTTGAATGGAATTACTGAAATAAATCAACTTTTTCATGATATTCTCATTTTATGACCAGCACCTGTAGTTACTTTTGCCACAGAACATTGGTAAATTCAGGTAAGACGGAGCAGAAGATGGTGGCTTTAATTTCAGATTAGATCTAGAACAAGCCGAGTTCTGTGGACTTTAAAACATGACCAAAGTACAAAATAAGTAATTACGTTTATTTTCTTTTTGTATATACAGCGTCAGCAGATGAGATGTAGGTTTTAGTTTCTCCACAGCTAATAACTCCAACTAATGTAATTCAATTGATGTTGGAGAGGTTTGTGTGAGTGACGAGGATATTTATAAACTTCTTAGATTCTGGCTGAAATGCTCTGCTCTGGTGGTTCAGTCTGGTAGACAACCGCTTTTAGATTTTTGATTTATGGGTTCCAATCTTACCACCAAACCCCTTTTGGTTAAAATGGCACAACTGAAAAGATGAATGCATTATGAGAAATGCTTTGAGTGTGGAAGGTGCTGGTGGTTCAGTCTGGTAGACAGCTGCTCTCAAATGTCAGGGTTGTCAGTTCAAATCTTACCACCAAACCACTTTTGGTCAAATTGGCACAACTGAAAGATAAATGCACCCGGAGAAACAGTCTTTGGTTCAGTGTGGTAGACATCTGCTTTTAGATCTGAGGTTTGTTGGTTCAAATCTTACCACTCATACACTTTTAAAGTCAAATCAGATAAATGTGCCTGGAGAAATGTTCAAAGTGTGACAGGTGCTCCTGGTTCAATGGGGTAGACAGCTGTCTTTAGATCTGAGGTTTGCTGGTTCAAATCTTGCCACTGAAATATTTTTATTCAAATTGGCATAAATAAAAAGATAAATGTGCCTGGAGAAATGTGTATAATCAAAAAAGAGTTAGTGGTGCAGTTAGGTAGACATCTGCTTTCAAATTTGAGGGTTGAGGGTTCAAATCTTACCACTGCACCACTTTTAGTGAAATTAGCTAAATTAAAAAGATAAATGCGCCCGGAGAAATGCTCAAATTGTGACAGGTGCTCTTGGTTCAGTGGTGTAGACAGCTGTCTTTGGATCTGAGGTTTGCTGGTTCAAATCTTACCACTCATACACTTTTTATAGTCAAATCAGCATAAATATAAAGATAAATGCGCCCGGAGAAATACTCTCAGTGTGAAAGGTGCTGGTGGTGTGGTGGCTCTGTGCACGCATGCAAGGTGCAAGCAGTGCAACACCAGGTTCAATACCTGCCTCCTGCCAGTACCTGGATCATGCTAAACAGTCCCACAGTAGTGGGTCAGGGAGGAGGCCGTGTCTCCTCCCTGAAAAATTCTCATCTGAAAATGGAGGGTTATGGAACTTGACACGACATTTTCCGCCAGAAAAAGTAGGAAAATGCTGGGAAATATTTTGTCTTTTCAATGTCATTAATGCCTTTTATATCATTTTGTTTTTAATGACATTTCTGCAATAAAACTTTGTTCCTTCTTTACTTTACTTTACTTTGTATGAACACTTGACATGTCAGATAAACTTTGAAAACAAAATATTTCCCAGTATTTTCCTACTTTTTCTGGCAGAAAATGTCGTTTCAAGTTCCATAACCCTCCATTTTCAGATGAGAATTTTTCAGGGAGGAGGCACGGCCCCCTCCCTGACCCACTACTGTGGGACTGTTTAGAATGATCCAGGTACTGGCAGGAGGCACGTCTTGAACCTGGTGTTGCACTGCTTGCAGATTGCACCTTACAAGCAGTGCACAGAGCCACCACACCACAAGCACCTTTCACATTTAGAACATTTCTCCGGGCGCATTTATCTTTATATTTATGCCAATTTGACAAAAAGTGGTGCAGTGGTAAGATTTGAACTCTCAACCCTGAGGATTGAAAGCAGCTGTCTACCTAACTGATCCACCAAATCTTTTCATGCAGTAGTTTTCTCCGGGCGCATTTATCTTCTCAGTTTTGCCGATCTGACTAAAAGTAGCTCAGTGGTAAGACTTGAACCCACAACCCTCAGAGTTGAGAGCAGCTGTCTACCAAACTGAACCACCAGCACCTTCCATACAAAGAGCATTTCTCAAAGCATAGTTATCTTTTCAGTTTTGCCGTTTTGACAAAGTAGTTTACTGGTATGATTTGAACCCACAAACCTCAGATTTAATGGCAGCTGTCTACCTAACTGAACCACCAGAGCAGAACCCTTCAGTCAGAAAATAAGAAGTTTTTCCTGTCTTTTTGCTTTAATGTTTGTCGATACGACAAACGTCTCACTAAATACTTCAAGTAACGCCGCAACCTTTACTACTTCCACATTACAGCTATCTTTCTTTCTTTGTCCGAGGTTAGCGCACCTTGGGTTACATTTCCTCGTCGGTGGAGTGATCTTACCGTTTACGTAAAATATTTGATAATGTTCTTATAGAAACAATTCCTGAATGTTGTTCATACTGTGTTAATGCTACATGCTAGCCCATTACTGAAGTTTTAATTATGTATTTTAAGCTATTCATAAACATGATGGATGATGAGCATATTGCTTTATGCTAGGCCATTAGTAAGAAGGAGTGATTATTATTATCGTTTCATATATGATAGTAATTTTCTTTCACCCTAAAACTTAACTTAGGCGACACTTTCTTAGATTGTGACTAGGATGAGTGAGAGAAGTGGAGCATGCTCTATTCACACAAGGAAAGCTGTTGGTCAGGATACTTCGTGTTGTGCCATTAACTCTAAAATAGTTATTGAATCAAGTGTTACTTGTGTAAGTACAACTAGATGTTAAACAACCCATTAAAATGTTCTGATGCGTGCTCAATAATCCAGGTAGAAAAATCTAAAAAAGTTAAGTCAGGTCTTCTGGGCGTTCAAAAAAAAAAACAAAATAATTGTAGAAATGTTTCATCTTTCATCTGACTGAAGAAGTCTTTCGGATGAAAGACAAAACATTTCTACAATTTTTTTTGTTTTGTTTTGTGTTTTAAACATCCAGAGGACCTGACTTAACTTTTTTAAAACCCATTAAAATACACCAGGATGCAGGAAATGGCAACTACTTTATTCAAAATTTTCTGGGGGAGGACCCCCAGGCCCCCACCATTGTGTCAACACCCCCTCCCCCACATTACAAATATGCTTCTGACACTAATGGCCACCTTGTTGCTAACCATCTTCCAGAGCAGGACAGGCTCCAACTGGATCTCGCCCAGTCCAAAGCAGAACTCTTACATATAACATATCACACATCTCATGATCAAAAAGATTATTGTCTTTTTCATTTGAAGTGGGTCAAATCACTTATATTAAAAGTAAACTGATGGAAATTGTTGCTTTAATTTGATTCTTTTAATAAGCCATGTAGCTTGCTATGATCCCAGGTTTTGAACAGGAGTGATACTGGTGTGTGACCACAGCGTGCACATCTGATGTTGCTCACAGTGGTCCTCAATGCGCTCAGGGAGCTTGTGTTTGCCCAGACTCATGATAAATTACAGGGAACATTTAGTTGGTGATATCTACAGCTGTCACAAGGATTAAAAATGAGCTTTGACACGCACCTTTAGGTTCAAGAACATCTTTAACCCTAAAAATATCTGCATTAGGTAATTCACTGTATATTCTGGCTGCTTGTATTTTGCATGAAATGTTTCAGACAGGGTCCTCTGCCTTTGTATGTGTTGGATGAACTGGAAATGACTAAATGGATTCTGACTTTAAGAAGCATTGTAGCAGCTTAAACATGTAAATGTTTGTTTATTATCCACTTTAAATGTATTTTTTATTGTTATATTGAAATCGCTGTCATGTTAACTTTTTTTAATCAATACTGCCCTTTAATATAAATAAATAAATAAATAAAGCTTCTGTTCAAGAGTCAAACCCGTGTTTTAAATCTTGTACCAGAAGCAGTTGACTCTGTCCTGAGAGTAGTCAAACTGGACTGCAGAGCACGATCTTAGATCCAGGGTCCGAATGGGCTCCTCACACTGCAACAAGGAGATGGTTGACGTGTGAACACTGCAAGCTCAAATCATCCGTTTGCAGATTAAACAGTGCAGGTATCAAAATCAACACTGTGAAGCGATATCCAGCATGCATTGTCTCAGAACGGAGAAGATCCTCACCATTTTGTCTTTGAAGTATTTCAGTTCATATCGGTAGAGTGTGAACCACCTCTGTTTCCAGCTCTACAAAATTATACAAAAAAAAATATATATATAACCTCTCCTAGAGTCAGTTTGAACTCTAAACCAAACATCGACTAGAATCACAAGCTCGGTTATGAAGGGGTGCGATGATTACCATACAACAGTTCTTACCTTTACAAACGCACCTTGTTTCACCAGGTACCCCTCCTTTGTGCCAAGCTGTAAAGACATGTTTGTGTCAGTGGAAACTTGACACTACAGCAGTGAAGTCTCAGGATAAATGTAGTTAGAAAGCTGCCCGAGTAAGAGAGAAGCACTGTTTTCCAAAGCAGTGAAGGGAGACCAACAAGTCAAGTCACACAGGTGAGGGGGCATGGCTGAAAGCTTGGATCCAGTTTCAGGAGGAGTCATGATGCACAAAGGTCAAATACAAGCTCTGAAAAGCAACAAGCTGATCAGTCAATCAATGCAGTTGATCAGCATTTCCTGAGGCTATTTCTCTCTGAATTATCCTTTTAGCAGTAGGACTGGTCTTAGTGTAGTTCATAGTAAACAAAAGTTTGTAAATTGTTGATCCGAGGTAGTATTTGTCTAATTTACAACTTGGAAAGTACCAGAATATTCATAAAGTGTCCTGACACACTAACCTTTTGAAAAGTCCCGTCTAACAGCAGGTGTTATGAAAGAGGGCTGTGGTTATTTTCCGCACTTGTGCCTGCTAGTTATCTTTAGAGCATTTGCAAAAAAAAAAAGCTTCCTTGCAATTAAATTTAACTCACTTTTATGCACCTGCACGTTTTTGTCAAGTCAAAATGCCAGCAGTGAAGTAAGAATGCTGAAAAGAGGAGGTTTTGCTTTTTTAGCAACTGTAAAAGTACCAACTTTACTAGTATCTGAGTAATACTAGCAGTATCTGTCCTTTAATGTGGGACATGCTGGACTGTGTTTGTATTTACTGAAAAAAAAAAGAGTGCAAAGCAAAAAAATGTGTAGAAGGGATAAAGTTATTTTAAACGTTATTAATTTTGTGAGCTGAAAAGTACATTTCTGTTGTTCTCTGATCTTCTCCTGAACTTAGACATAATGCTTAATAGATATGAAAGTGTATTATACCGCAGGTGCAATAGCCACCAGATCATCCTGCGTGCGGCCCGTCTGTATGGCGGTGTGAACCCGCACAGACTCGTAGATGGACGGCTCCTCCACGTGCCACGGGTACGGACACTTGAGCACCATGAGTGTTCCTGATTCAAACACAGAGATGACCGATGGTAAAACATAAAGGAAAAGATGAGCACCGACAGCACAACGGACACGCATCTCTGATGTGGAAAGCATGCAGCCGTTTGTACCGTTTATGTATTCATGCATGGTCCAAAACCTCCTTTGAAAGAGCAACAAATTGCACAACAGTTTTACAGTTTTATTGTTATTTTTAATCAATATAAGTCAGAATTCATAACTAAATTACAAAATTTTGATGCATCACATTCTAAACTGCATCAAAATGTAAACAAATTTTTAAAATTACTTTGGAAAGATAATCTTATTTCAACAATTTTTCAGTCAGGTCATCTGGACGGTTTCTTTTTTTTTTGTGCTGAAACGTTTCACCTTCCATCCAGAAGGCTTCATCAGTCAAGGAAACATACAACACAAAAATGATTGGATTGATTGAAAGTGGAACAAACCAGTTATGTTGGTGCTAAGATGGTTTCTGGATAATCTTATTTCATTAAATAATTTATGAATTTGATTTATTACAACCTTAATGCCTTTTTAAGATTTTGGTACTTGCTTAAAAGAAAAGACAAAACATTTGACTTCTGTTTTTCCAAATTAAAAACAGACATACAGCAAGTAGGGGTGAGTAAAGTTTTAAAATAACGATACAATAGAATGGTCATCTGTACATTTTTTTGTTTCATCCTTCATCCAAAGGATTTCATCTGTCAGGAGCCACAACAAACTCAGTCCCACAAGCAGCACACTCACATAGTGGACCAACCAGTTTTCTGGTGATGAGATGGTTTCTGACTCTTCTGAGGCAGCCATAGCCAAAGTGGTTCAAAAACATCAAAGAAAAAAATAAAATACGTCCAAATGACCTGACTGATCTTTATTGTATTTTTATCTGGATTATTGAGAATGAACTTTGGTGTTTTGAACCACTTTGTCCATGGCTGCCTCAGAGAAGTCAACGGGGGAGAGGGTGGGCTCCAGAAACCATCTTTTCACCAGCAAACTGGTTGGTCCACTATGTGAGTGCGCTGCTTGTGGGACTGAGTTTATTTGTGGCTCTTCAGACTGATGAAATCCTTTGGATGAAGGACGAAACGTCTCATCAAAAAAGTAACTGTCCAGATGACCTGATTGAACTTTGTTGGATTTTTTTACCTGGATTATCGAGCATGAATTTTGACGATAAGGTAGAATATAATATGTTGTCCCTACAGGGAAATTTGCAGCTATCAGGCTCTTTGAGGCTTTGAACATAACTTGGTGTTTTTTTAAGCTGGTTGCTTTTTTCATCTATGACGGTTCTTAGATATCAATTATACATTTTACATCTCAAATTTCAGACTAAATAGTTCAGGTTTAGGTGGAAACTAGCAAGTTTTAAACCATCTGAACTGCATCAAACTCAAGATCGGCTCACTAATCAAACAGAAGTTTAGGAATTTAAGTTTTCTTTGCATTAAACCCATTTTGATTAGGACTGCTCATTAGGTGATGTGTTTGCAGATTTTTAGCTCAATCGTTTAAAGCTTTAAAATGTGAAGTGGGCCGCTTCAAGCAGTTTCAACTAGAGATAAAAAGTGTACAAAAAGAATAGTTTAAATGTTTGCAATGTAGCGAAGAGCTTAAATATTTTCTGAAAAAAAAAAAGTGTTTCCTAAATATTATAACAAATAAATTCCTCATAAGATCCCATGCTAACAATAAATTAATCTAAAATAAATCTAATCATGACCAGAAACACAATTTGATTTTTAAAAAACTAATTCAAACCATCCCATTTATTTCCCCAGACCTCTCCTAAGGGGACAATGACAATTTTTGACTTTTAAAACCTCTTGACTGAGTTGAAGTCCAACCAAGTGTGGCCCTTTGCAGCCATGTATATCTTTTTTTATCATATAAGTATTTGCTGCACTGAAAGACAAAATAAATAAAAGGAAATTGGAACAATCTAAATGGTCTTTAAAAATGTCAGCTTCAACTAGATATCATTAAAGAGTACTTGAGTATAAGTATGGAACGAATTAAAGCAGCGTTTGATTGGAAACAGAGGACTGAGGTGCGTACCTGTGTCACTCCCCAGCAGAGGCTGGTTGGCGAAGTGGTTGATGAAATCCTGAAAACTGGAGAACTCATTAAACCCGAACATGTAGACGTTGTCTCTGCGCGTCACTTGAAAATGCTTCACCGAGTCCTTCGCTCTGCGTTTAAACAACAACAAAAAATCAAACGATAGTGTTTCGTTTTTAACAATAATGACCAACAAAAGGGCACCAGCAAACTGTACATCAAACCGAACAAACATTTAGCTGAGATTTTTAAATGTATAATACTGTTGTAACGTTCCATTGTTGTTCCATCCATCCATTTTCTTTACCCGTTTATTCCATTTTGGGTCACGGGGGTCGCTGGTGCCCATGTCCAGCAATCACTGTGCGAGGGGCGGGGTACACCCTGGACGGGTCGCAAGTCCATCACAGGGCCACATAGAGACAAACGAGACAAACAACCATTCACTCTCTCACTCACACCTAGGGGCAATTTAGAGTTACGAATCAGCCTAACATGCATGTTTTTGGTCTGTGGGAAGAAACCGGAGTACCCGGAGAAAACCCACGCATGCACGGAGAGAACATGCAAACTCCACCCAGAAAGGCCCCCGGACCGGGGTTTGAACCAGGGACCTGCTCGCTGAGAGGCAGCAGCTCTACCAGTTGCGCCACCGTGTTGCCCCATTGTTGTTCCATTATTTTTAAATTAACATTTTATTTTAAATTATTATTCAATAATAGACCACAGAAAAACAAATGACTCATCTTTACTTTGATAAACTTTACATTATTTTTTAAAGGAAAGCAAATACTTTTGCAACCATGAGGAATAAAATTTCTATTTGAGTTTATAGCTGTAAGATTAAATCTGTTTTTAAAATTTAATTGTTGAAAACTATGTAAAAGTAAAACGAGTTGCTTGACAAACGGCAGGTTTCTGCCTCCAGCTGCTTTCAAGGCTAAAGGTTCAATGTTCTTTATTGACACTCGCATCACATGTGGTACATGAGGTGGAACAAAATTGTGTACTCAAGTTCCCAGTTACACCCAAAACAGCAAAAATATAAAGTATAAAAAAAGAAACAGTAAACAAGGATCTAAGATATATGCTAAACCTGTGGTTCCCAACTCTAGTCCTTGAGGAACACCATCCTGCATGTTTTAGTTGTTTCCCTGCTTTGACACACCTGATTTGAATGAATTGGTGATTTACAGGATTTAGCAGAACTTGAAGAAGTAATTAAATCACTGTGTGTTGAAGCAGAGAAACAACTAACACATACAGGATGTTGTTCCTCAAGGACCAGAGTCGGGAACCACTGCTCTAAACAATATGTAATATAATACAGTGTATTAAGAAGTAGCCTGAACATGAGTCTGTTGTGAGCAGATGGGTATGCATCAACATCAAGATCATGGAACCAACAAAAGCAGTTTGGTTAAAATGAGAACATTTTCAGGTGAAGTTGATCAACTCTGACTCGTCCAGCTGTTCTGCTTCCCAAAGACCATATTCTTCTTTCTTGATCTTATTAAAAAAAATAAACAGTGTTCATTTGAAGCACTGATTTACTGATTTGTTCTGTTAATCGTTAGTTGCAGCGTTGCAACCAAACCAGCATTAGTATTTGTGGATATTAAAGATCAGCCTTTATAAAATATAGATTTAAGCATGAATATATCTAGATAAATTGAACAGAGCGTGCTGGACAGACCCTGAACTCCTCCATCTCCTCTTGACTTCCGCCTGTTTGTTTTCACTGAATCAGTCCTGGTTTGATCAAAGAGATGAGCCAAGAATCTGTTTCTGCTTTTTGAGGAGACTTCCCTGCTGCGTGACTGACCTGACGGACAGAGCGAAACAACCTGGACCATCGTTACTGTTCCTCAGGAGGTAACTTCCATCCGCCCCGTTGGACAGGAGAAGGGCCTCTGCAGCGTGCCGGGACAGGTCGTAGTGGTACCACCTTCAGAAAGATCACAAAACCATCAGCTGAAGGGACACAGATGGAATCAGCTTCAGGAATCAGGAGTACAAACTTGAATCCAAACAGACACAAGCTGTGATTTAAATCAGCAGCAGATTATTTAAATTCAGCTCCACAATGGCAAAAATCAACTAGAGAAATTGGACTTCCTGTGAAAATTCAGTGTGAATGCAAATTGTAGAAGAACTTGCTAAAAAAAACAAACAAAAAAAAAAACAGCTGAAATTAGCTAAAAACTTGCTGAAATGTAGCTGAAATTGAAGAACAAGCCTAAGTTAGCAGAAGAGAGCAGAAAAAACAGATTTGCTGAATTACATTTAAATAAACAGAAATGATCACAGAAATGAGAAAATTAATTAAAAAGCTGAAATTAGCAACAACAAAAAAAAGGTGAAAAGTCAGAAAAGAGCTTAAACTACCAAGAGGAAGTGGAAGGAGCTGAAATGAGCTAAAATAAATGTGTAAATAGTTGAAAAAGCTAAATTTAGTGCAAAAAGGGCTAAATAGTAACTGAAATAGCAGAAAAAGCTGAAAAACAGCTGACATTAGCTAAAACAGGTTGAAATGTAGCTGAAATTGAAGAACAAGCCCAAGTTAGCTGAAGAGAGCAGAAAGAGCACACCTGCTAAATTAGATTTAAATAAGCAGAAATGATCACAAAATTAGGAAATTAGCTTAAAAAAAAGCTGAAATTAGCAACAACAACAAAAAAGCTGCAAAGTAGCTAAAAAGGTAGAAAAAAGCTTAAACAACCAGGAGGAAATGGAAGGAGCTGAAATGAGCTAAAAAAAAAGTGGAATTAGTTGAAAAAGTTAAATTTAGCACAAAACAGTGAAAAAGTATTGTATCTGAAACTGGCAGAAAAAAGCTGAAAGGAGCTGAGATTAGCAGAAATAAGTTAATTAGGCTGAAAGTAATAGACATTACCAAAAATAACTTGAATTTATCTGAAAACCGCTGAAATTAGCTGCAAAATGCTAAAAAAAAAAGGTAGCTGATAATGTAGAATAAGCTTAAATTAGCATAAGAAAGCAGAAAGAACATATCAATGGGATTTACCTGTCTAAATAAAGGTTGAATGAATACGTTTACCCAATTAGACTGAAAGAAGCGGAAATGAAAACACAATCGTGGACATATCTGAAAAAAGCTGAAATTATCACACACAAAAAACAGCTTAAAAGTAGCTAAAATGTTCTAAAAGAAGCCTGAATTACCAGAAGGAAGTGGAGAGAGACAGTTAAATGTTGTAAACAGATCTAAAGATTTGAAGGATGGAAAATGAGCTCAATTAATTTCCTATGAGAAAAAAAATTGGCAGAAAAAGCTAAATATTTCAAAAAGCTAAAGTTGCACAAATATCAAAAATCATAGCACCGTTCTCCCGAACGAGCTGAAGGTTTTGATATTTGTTGAAATAGCACATTTGTGGAACTAGAAAAATGCCGAATAAGATACAGAAGAAAAATGGATCACAATAGTGTGAATGCTTCATAAGCGTTGGCGCAGACTAAAAACTGGTTTCAGAAACTTGGATCTACATTTCTTTTCCCACTATTGTTCTCGACCTCAATGACAGCAGATCACACCACCCTGATGTTCCCCATCTGATCCAGTTCAAAGCTGATCTCCAGATTTAATGAGTTTGAATTTATCATCAGGTCCGTGGAGCCTTAGGAGGGCTCATCTCTGTCCTGCTGACGGAAACATTTTCACCATAAAACACTCCAGCAGATGTTAAAACCTTCCTAACATGTCTGAAGATTTCTCATTAACTCCGTTTGAAAAGCTTCAGGAGCTGCATTCCTCTTTGACTCTTCTTCCATTTTAAAACTCTGTAAATAAGGACGTTCTTTATACTTGTAATTAAATTTAATTTGTTTGACCGACACCGTATAAAGCCCAACCACTTAGACAATGTGGAAAAACAGAAACTTGCGACTAAAATAAGAAACTTTCATAAGTGTAACTGACAGATGTGAAGGAAACTGGTCAAGGGAATGTGAAAGTTCCTCATTTGCATTCATATTTATGGAGGTTTCTTAAAATAAAAAATAAAAAAAACATCTCAGAAAAAGTGAGATGTTAAAAGACAAAAAAGCTGAGATCAGCCCACATTTCTCTGTGAAAACATCCTGAAGGGTAAACAACGGGATCAGCGGCCACATCTGGTGATTACACTTCTGCAGCCTCTCAGAGCTGCAGCCACGTAACCTGAAATATCACCTGCAAGAACCAACTTTTTATGTTTTAAATCCATTTATTACACATATCAGAACAAAATAATTATATTGATTTCTGTCAGCAAAAACATCTGCTTCTCACAGTTCGACTTAATGTCAGCAGTCTGGTTTTAGTTTGTCCTGTTATGGCAAATTGAACTATGAATTAAAAAACAATGGTTACAAGAAGACTTGATATTGTGCCATAAATGCTTCCATTTTAATGTAACACGACTTTAATATACAAAAACAAAATCTGAGGTCAGACAAGATAGAAATAATTGTCCTAAAGAGATACATTTTAATTTATTGCCATTATTGTGCATTGCTAACTTTTGTTTACTAAATCCTAATCAAAAGAAATAGATGCGATCAAACTGTAAAAATTATTGAAAGTTTTCTCTGAAAACCAAGAAAGTGCAATAAATCTGAACAGCAAGATAAAATTATAATCAGTCAGCATGAGTGATTTTAGATTTAATCATTTCCTTCCTGCTGCAAGTCAAACTTCTCATGAACGTAAAAATCAGAACGTCAGGCGGTCTCACCCTAAAGTCTCCAGCTCGTCGCTCATGTCCTCGTTGGAGGCATCACTGTAGACGCTCATGTCTCCTGTGGTCTCCTCAGAGGTCAGAGATCATCTGAAGCTGCTGCAGCTGAAAGAGAAGGAAGTGAAAGGACTCGGTCCGATTCAGACACGCCCAAGAGGAAATGAATGCTCGCGTTTAGTTTTTGTAGTTTGACAAATAATTAATTCAACAAACTGACTGTAACTGTCTGAATAGCATTATGTAATTTACCTCCTTTTCTATTCAAAATGTTTTTTTATTTATTAAAAATGTGCTAATATGGTTCAACAAATTAACCCTCGCTCACCTAACAAAAACAGGAACAGCTGAAGACGACACACACTCCATTACAAATAAATACATTAAAACCAAATGCACACCTATTTGATTAAATACTGAAGTGGTAAAAAAAATAGAAAAAAATGTACAATACAAACTCAGTTTATATCAAAGCTTTTTATGTCACATCAGAACATCAGACAATGGTGGTTTTATGAACATTGTTAAGGGTTTGGGGTTCTTCTACAGAAAAGAAAGCACACAAAGAAAGGACGAACTTCACGACATCCAGCAAAGGGTGACAGAGGACTTACACCTTGACTGAGGACTTCAATGTCTTCTATAATATTGACACTATTCCTCGTTTAAACCGGGACACTTGTGTATGGTGAAAATTAAGAAGTGTCTTCTGACATCAGCCTCGCTCGTTGTTCTTGAATCTTTACCAGGAGTTGAACAACATACCGTACTCGGAGACACTATGTAGCTGTAAACAGTGTGAGAGAATAAACTGTAAATTTGGAGTTTATTAAACATTGTGATCTTAAGTTGTTAAAACAACTGTGAAGCCCAATTACTTCATTTCCTTTGAAGAAGAAACAGTGAAGCTTTAACTAAAAACTTTACTTAATCCACAAAAGCAACATATCGTTTTAATTGATACAGTCATGGAGCAACATTTCACTTCCTTCTATTTCAAATGACTCCACTCCTTTTTGGGTAAAAAAACAAAACACAAAGCAAGAGGCAGTTTTTATCCAAAAAGGGGCGGAGCATTCAATTCATTTCAGTTCATTTATATAGCACCGTCACAACAGAAGTTGTCTCAGGGCACTGTACAAAAACATTCACATACATTATAAAAAACCAGTTAGTAAAAGTTCTGTATCTAAGGAAGCAGCAGATCGAGTTGAATCTTCACTTCGTCAGTCTCCCATCCTGAGCAAGCACAAAGGCAACAGTGGAAAGGAAAAACTCCTTTTTAACCAGAAGAAACCTCCAGCAAAACCAGGCTCAGGACGAGAAGCCATGTTTTGACCAGCTATGGTTTGAGAGGACAGGAAGAAGAAACAGAGAAACATAGGTTGGCAGGTTCAGGTGCACTTTCTACTTGAAGAAAGGCAAATAAAAAAAACATGATAAGGATAGAAATAAATACAAATACAGAGAAGAGCAAGTAAAGACAGCAGCAGAGTGAAGAAATGTGGTCAATGTGTCCTCCAGCAGTCTAAGCCTATAGCAGCATAACTAAGGGATATCTCAGGAAACCCCATCCAACCCTAACTATAGGATTTATCAAAAAGGAAAGTCTTAAGCCCAGTCTCAAAAAACTGGTCAATGTGTCAGCCTCACGGACAGAAACTGGAAGTTGGTTTTACAAGAGAGGAGCCTGATAACTGAAAGATCTTCCTCCCATTCTGCTTTTGGAAACTTTAGGAACCGCAAGTAAAACTGCAGTCTGAGCGCAAAGCGCTCTGTTAGGAGTGTATGGCGAAATAAAATCTGTAATAGATGGAGCTGGGTTGTTGAGGGCTTTGTATGTTAGAATATTTTGAATTATTTTATGAATTTGACTGGGAGTCAATGGAGAGAAGCTAAAACGAGATAGATGATCTCTCCTACTAACTCCAGTTAAGACTCTGGCAGCAACATTTTGGATCAACTGAAGACATTTTAAAATAAGTCTTTGGACACCCAGAACAATTGCAATAGACATGCAACAGACATGACAAATACATGGACCAGTTTTTCTGCATCATTTTTAGACAAGATCTTCCTAATTTTAGTGACATTATGCAGGTGGAGTAAAACGTTCCTTGCAACTTTTTCATGTGGGGATTAAAAGACATATTCTGATCAAAAATAACACTCAAGGATTTTTACATTGGAACTGGAGGCCATATGCCATCCAGAGAATGTGAGGCTGCAAAATGTATTCCTAAAATACTCAGGTTCAAAAACCACAACCTCTGCCTTGTCCAAGTTTCAAAGCAGAAATTTAAGGGTCTTCTAGATTTTCAAGTCTTTAAAACATGCTTGTAATTACAGTAACTGATTAGATTCATTGGGTTTCCTGGATAAATATAACAGAGTATCATTAGCCCATTTAGTTTGCTACTCCACCGTCCCTAGCTGTTTTTTTTTTGTTACCTTTCCTTTAAATACGATTTGATTTTCACTTGTTAAAAAATTCTCAATTTGTACGCATCCTTTATGATCGTCTTTTGTCTTTGTTGTCCACTGTTATCACTTTTAAATTCAGGTCTCTTGTACACGAGTCCCCAAGGTTCAATTGGATTAACCTGTATAAATAAAGGTTGAATGAATTAATTAAAATGCATTCTGTACCGTTTAAAAACTTTACCTTACCTAGCATCAAATAAGTGAGTGTTGCTCCAAGTTTATCCCCTTTATCAAAGCTCAACTACTTGCTGCTGTATTCTGATGCATTTCAAGTTTGACATATACACAGTAGGTATATACTTTTATTTTTTCAGAGTCCGAAAATGCTAATTTTTGCAAGTCATTGTGCATGATTTCAGTTACTCATTTTCAACGCCAACAAACGTCATTTTAAAGTTGGGGAAAGTTTTAAGATAATTTCAGTTTGTGATGCAAAGTGATCTCATTTCCAATAATAATAAAAAAGTTTAAAAAAAAAACAACAGCATTCTTGCATTTAAAAAGCCTTTAAGTGCATTTGGAAGGATTATGTTTTATATCAAGTCGTTTTCTTCCACTCACCTGCTTATGATGAGCTATAGCACACACCTAACAAAAAATACCTTCAACAAATCAGAAATTAAATGTTATTAATAATGTTACACAAATCTGTCAGTTTACAGCATTGAACTGCACCATAAACTGAAATTACCAACCCCTCCCTTCCCTGCAGGCTGTTCCAGCACACACTGAGAAGGTTGCACAGAGTTCAAACTATTTATTAATTGAAAAGTCAGTTGATTATTAAAAATGTGACAAATCCTGTACAAAAACACGAGTTCATACACATAATTCTGTAGCCAGTGGAGGTTTTAAAGCAGCAATCTGATGATCCTGGAGATTGAAAGGTGTCGTTCTTTATTTAAAACTGAAATGCTTTCGTCTGTATTGAAACTGGAGGAATGAGGCACTTAAACACCTGAGTGGTTCTGCCTGAAACCACCAGGACCTGGTTTGTAGTCTATATTCTATATTTCCTGTAAAAAAAAAAAAAAATTGATATGAAATCAGATTACTGGTTAAATAATAATCTGAACAAGAGAACAGTAAATTGTTCCAAATTATTCCTACAGCTGCACAGACTTTGTTTAATCTTAATTATTACGACCGTCCAGCTCAGCTTTACCTTCGTTTTCTGACGTCACATCCTTCATGTAATCTGAAGCTGCTTCTGATTGTTGGTTACAACAAATAAATAAAACGCACGCATCCAAAAGGAAGTTCCACTATTCCTTCGTTTACCCCAGCTGAGCAGGTAAACAAAAACAAAAAAGGTCATAATCAGCTGACAGATATGTAAACACATTCCAACCAGCATGTCAGTGTTTGGTTATCAGTCAGTTGATATAAACAACACAAGAAAATATGCATATTTATTTTTCATGATGAGGTTTTTAGATGCTGGTTGCGTTTCGTTATGTGTGATTGGATCAGTCCTCTCCACTTGGAAAAGCATGAGTGTGAAATAGTTTATTGCACCAAGGGTCTTCAAATCCTTCAAGTCCATTTACCCCAGTTCCGCCCAATTGTCAGTTTGTGTTTTCCATGTGGGGGTCAGGACACCACATCGTTCATGCTGGACTCGAGGCCGGGGTTGTCCGCGCACACCGGCACTCTGCTGGCTCTGGAGTGTTTCAGGTTCCAGTGCTGCATCCTCCTGTGGTACCGCTCTGCATTCGCCTCGTCTTTCTGAGCTGATGTCAGCGCAGCGGAGGAGCCGAGCGTGTTGTGCAGAACCCGAAACAACAACCTGCAGGAGAATACACACACAGCTCAGACTTGTTTCAAATCTGCTTCAAGAGCTTTGACTCCACATGGTGCGTTCTGTTAAACACTTGCTGATAACGAGAGTACCAAAAACATTTTTTTTTTAGATCAGGTGCGTTTGTCTGCAGATACACACCCGGCATCAACACACAGAGGCCTGTGAGCTAAACAGAATCATTACATCTGAAGAAGTTTCTGTAAAAATAATACAAATCAATCAAACCATTTAAAGACCAATCAGACTGTTGAGACTTTGAAATCTTTGCAGAAGACTCGTTTGTATTCCTTGGCATTCGATCCACGCAGAGTCTGAGAACAAATTTTGAGCTGATTTTATTGTTGTTGTGCATTTACTGTATGTCTTTGAGTGGCACTAAATGCATTTTTTATTATTTTTATCCGTCTTAACTGTAAAGCACTTTGGGCAGCTGCTGTTGTTTTTATGTGCTATATAAATAAATTGACATTGACATTTTAAAATTTGACACAACTTAACCTTTTTTGTTGTTATCTACCTGGACGATTGAGCTTACAACCCTTTTTCTGAACCACTTCAGGCTGTTTCTGTGAGTACAAGTTGGCCACCTGGCCTAAAACATTTGATTGTTGTGCGCGATTGATTTTTTGGACGGGCATGTTTCGCATGTGTTAAAAGCCTATTTCTGAGATTACAAAAGGAGGTTGGCTTGAAACACAGCAGTGAAGGCTACCTATGGGACAGATCTGTTTGGCAGGAGGAAGTCCTCTGGATGGGGGACGAAACGTTTCTCTGGTCCAGATGACATGATTTAACCTTTTTTATATATTTTTTTTATTATTATTATTATGGGGTGCACAGATTGCAGTTTTCTGGACAATCACCAATTTCTATAAAGTCTGATCTGCCGATACCGATTTTGTTTTATAAGCGACACTGTCAGGTGTTATAAGGTCACAATGCACCTTCAATTTTCCAATCTTATTTTATTGAAAAACTGAACAATATCCTAGAAACAGTGCAAACTTGTTTCAACTGGCCATGAAGTAGTGCTTTGAAATATAAATGAAGTTAAGACAATTGTTGTTAAAACAAACAAAAAAAAATCTGTAAAACTGGTTTCTTGTGCAAGTATCTGCCAATTTCCGATTTCCCAAAATTAAGGAAATCGGGCCGATAAATTGGCCATCCGATTTATCAGTGCACCCCTAATTATTATCATTTTAAATTTTATTTTGTCCTCTTTCAGCTGCTCCCTTTCCTCAGGGGTCACTACAGCGAGCAAACTTGAATGATGATTTGGCAATTGTTTTACGCCGTACGCCCTTTCTGATGCAAGCATCAAGCTACCACAGCTCATGTGTGGAGCAGAGGGCTGCCATCTAAGGGGAGCAGGAACTCAAGGGCCCACAGCGGGGCAAATAAGGGTGGAAACAGACCTTTCTCATATAAATACTGTTAACGGTCCGGGGATTCAAACCTACAACCACCCAGTTACAGGCTTGCCTTCTCAAATCTTATCTAAACTTCAAAGGTTCAGGGAGGGATTTGATTTTTGGGCAGTGCAACATCCATCCCACACAGCTGGTGAAAAAGAAAATACCTTCTAATCATAGATTATTATCACCAGATGGATTATTTCTAAACGAAAATAAGCTCAAAAATGTGTGAGTAGGTTTATCTGTACCTTGGCAACAGAGCGGTGACTATAGTGACAGCACAGACGATGTAGAAGAGAGGCTGTGACAGCTGTTGTGTTTCCACCCCGAACAGGTTGGTGGGGTTACCGCAGACCACACAGAAGGCACTGAAGGGCAGCGTGAAGACGAAGTACGAGCCGGCGCTGAGCACCAGCACCAGCACGTGGATCCACGTCTGTGACAAAAACACTTTTAATCAGTTTGAACTGGAATTAATGTAACGTAAACGTTTTAACCATAGTGATTCTGACCAGCGTGTTACTCTCGATGACTTGGTGCAGCAGGATGATGAAGAGGGCCGAGGTGTTGATCGGCGAGCCGAAGGACAGATCCCCAACGTCCGATCCAGCCAGCGCCTGACGAAAAAACATCCCATTAATTTTACAGAGGTGATAAATAAAATAAATAAGATGTGATATGGTGAAATTTCCTCAAAGTGAAGTTTTATTTAAAAAACAACAAATACTTACAAAGTAAGGAATGAAAAAGCAGATGAGACTTTGGTAAAAGGCATCAAGGACTGAGATCCAGAACGTGGAGGAAACGTAGATCTGCAGGGAAGCATCTGTTAGTCTGGTTTGTTTTTTAAAAACACAGAAGATTAGGCAACAAAACATAAAACAGAGTTTGGACCGAAACCAACGACTGTTAATCTAGTATGTGTGTGCGAGTGCCTGTTTGTGTTACATTGTACCACAACGCACCAACTAACCACATCTGTAAACTTATTGAGCCACGTTAATACAACAAAGGCATAAAACCAATTTGAAGCTTTCAAAATACGCTAGCTTAATCAGCACAAACACAATTTTTTTTTAAAAACAGATCATCAGCTTATAAAAAGATGAACAAAGTGTCTTTTGTTGTTCAAAACTAGACAGGATCCTACAAAGTTCAGTCAGGTCGTCTGGACGGTTTCTTTTTTTGCCGAGATGTTTCGTCCTTCATCCAAAGGACTTCATCAGTCCGAGGAGCCACAAACAGACTGAGTTCCACAAGCAGCACACTCCCATAGTGGGAAAAAACAGTTTGGTGGTGATAAGATGGTTTCTGGGGCCCGCCCTCTACCCCGTCAACTCCTCTCAGGCAGCCATAGTCAAAGTGGTTCAAAATATCAGGGTTAATGCTCAATAATCCAGGTAAAAGAATCCAACAAAGTTGAGTCAGGACATCTGTAGGCCTGTCACGATAAACAATAAATCAATTAATCGCATGATAAATTAAAATTATCAACCTCATTTTCATTTATCTGCTCTATCGTTTCTTTGTGTCTCTCTCTTTCTACTGAAGACACTGGATGACAAAAATCTCAACTCCAGTGCTCTTCACTGACCCCTCCCTTTCTCTTTAAAATTCGTTTTAACTGTACAAAAACGTTTTTTTGGATTGTTAAAAGCAGATAAGCTGAGAAGCTAAGTTACGAGCTAAGCTAACAGGCTGACCTCGGGGAATAAAAAGTTCTTGCTGAAGCGCCAAAATTCACGGTTGAAACCCGTGCCTTCGTGTAAAGTTGTTTTTCTCTGCAAAAAGAAGCTGAGAACTTGTTTACCGATTTTTTTATTAAAAGCTTTGTGTGAAAAATGCTATGCTAAAGAGCTCAAACCACACCGCGTGTCCGCCATTTTGAGAACCGGGAAAAAAGGAAGGGGAGACAGCCCATGTCACGTCAAGGGGCCTCCCTCCCATTTTTCTTAAAGAGACACGATGCTCGCTTCCTCACTAGCCATCCTTCAGTTCAAACAGTCATACTGTATAAAAAGGTACTACACATAAAACAAATTAACCGACATTTCTTCTTAAATTTCACAGTAATTACAAATTATTGTCAAATTTCAAACAATATTATTGTTTATTGAAATAATTTCGAAGACAATTAATCGCCCAGCAAAATTTGTTATTGTGACAGGCCTAGTCATCTGGACGGTTTCTTAATTTGTTGAGACATTTTGTCCTTCATTCAAAGGACTTCATCAAGCATGAACCTTGATGTTTTGAACCAATTTGGCTACGGCTGTCTGAGAGGAGTTGACAGGGTCGAGAGCAGGTCCCAGAAACCATCTTATCACCAGCAAACTGGTTTTTCCACTATGGGAGTGTGCTGCTTGTGGGACACAGTTTGTTTGTTGTTCCTCGGATTGATGAAGTTCTTTGGATTAAGGATGAAACGTCTCAACAAAAAAATAAATCGTCCAGATGACCTGACTCAATTTTGTTGGATTTTTACCTGGATTACTGAGCATGAACTTTGATGATAGACAGGATCCTGTTTACGGGCATTGCCACAATGCATTTTTGGAGATGTGGGACCTTAAGTCCGGTCTACTCTCCCAGGCAGTTTCTTTCAAACATAAAATAATTAATTACAGCTAAACAAAATAGAAAAATTGATATCTCAACATTCAGCAGCAATTAAGAACTCTGTGAATCGATCAACGTAAACACCAAAAACTACATATCTGAAGTAAATATACTTTTTTTTTTTTTTTTAAACAAAGAGCAATATCCTAGATGTTTACATGGGGTCGGGCTGGACCTAAATCATGTTCTGGAACACGATGGGGATACTGGTCCTGCAAACCTGCAGGTTTCGGATCTATACATTGTGCTTTTTCAGACGCATTAGAATCACCTTGGAAGTTTGCTCAGCCTTGTAGAGCTCAGGCAGCTTCATCAGAGCTTCTGCAGGCCTGTCCTGGTCCAGGATGCCGTAGATGAGAGGAGGAACTGAAGTGAAGACCAGGTTGAAGAGGATGAGCACCCAGGCGTTGATCATGACGCTTCCAGAGAAACCACAGAAGAACTGGTACCAGAAGAGCAGATTCACGTACATCTGCAGACACAAAGAGGCTCAGAATCAGGACTGTCAAGGTCTGTAGAACATGATCAACCATCTGGAGAAAAAAGTATTTTTTGCAAGTACAAAAACAGTTGTCTTTGTATTTAGGAAATATAAAACAATAGTCAGGATTCAGGGTTAAATGTATTAAGAGCCAAAGTGCCAAACAGCCCCCACAATGAAACTACTTTATAAAAGTTTTTACAAAGCAGAGGGCTTCTCACCACGTTCTTGTAGATGAAGTAGAGGATCATGTTTGCGAGACGATGGCAACACCAGTGGCCATGAACCAGCAGCAGCTTCTTGAGGTGTTTGAATCTGGAGATGGCAAAGTCACTGGACATCACAGCCTGGGGACCACATGTTTGGGTAAGTAAAGAGCAGATTAAGAAGATTTGAGATGTAACATTTGAATTAATGATGCATCGACTTTCATATTATTTTTAACGTTTGTCAGAAGGAGCTTACCTGCATTCCCTCCTGACCAGAAATCCCGATTCCCACATCAGCCACCTGGATCATGCTAACATCGTTAGCTCCATCACCTTAAAACACAAACCCTCTTCAGACAAATGTGCATGAATAAACACGAGGAACAATTTCCTCTGTTATTAAACATGTTTATTAATTACATTGTTAATTCAAGTATTCTTTGAAGCAGTCTGTCCTTACCCACAGCCAGGGCCATGACACCGAGCTGGTCTCGGATCAGATGGACCATCTTGCTCTTCTGTAGCGGGGTGGACCGACAGCAGATTACTGCCTTGCATTTCTGGCTCAGCTCCAGGAAGCTGCCTTTCAGCTCGTCCTGCAGAGCCCACTCTAGTGTCCGGCCATCGATAACCAGGACAAAGCTGGTGGCGCTGCTCGAGGACGATTCGTCTGTCCGCTCCATCAAACCGTCTCCACCACTCTGGACTTCAAGGATGAGCTCCTCGAGTAAAGCTGCGCACGAATCCTGCAGGAGAACATAAAAACAGAGTGGTTATGGATACAACACATTTCATTACAAGTTAAATTTCATTATGTTTCAAGTTGAAATGTGTGACGTTTGTTAAAAATGAAGTTGATGAGACAAAACAAAACAATTTTTTCTAACTTTTCAGTGTACTGGGTGTTATTTCATATTTATTTAACATTTAATTAAAGTAACTGGTGGTATTTCTATAGTCTTCTGTGAGGTTCAAGTTGCTGATAAATCAAAGGAAGAGACATTATTGTAACTACTTTCAAAGAAACTCATTTGACAGTTTGTAATTAAACTGGAAACGTAGAAGCACCTGAAATGATCCAAACATGTCGATAGCTGAGCTTCAGGTACTGACCTTACTTCCACAGTTTGCCGTCAACAGCTGGTCGTCGGAGCGCAGAAGTTTACAGGCGTTAGCCACGTTGACAGCCGTCTCCTGTTTGTCTCCGGTGAGAACCCAAACTTTGATCCCCGCCTTCTGAAGAGCTTCGATGGTCTCTGGGACGTCCTCCTGCAGTCGGTCTACGATCCCTGTGCAGCCTGAACGCACGAAGACAACAGAAGCGTTACGTGCTGTTTCTCTGATGCAGAGCTGGCCGTTCGTGTGTCGGACCTCGTACCAAGCAGGTTCAGGTCCGTCTCCAGCAGCTCGGCAGACTCCAGCAGCAGCTCCTCTCTGTTCTCGATGCTGCTCTCCGCCAACAGCTGCCGCTTCAACCACACAACATACTCCTCCTCCTCTAGAACCTGATCCAGGAACCAGAAACCAGAAACCAAGGTTTTTTCTGTTGATTTTAGCTTCTAAATGCTGTTCTGCTGGTTTGATATTCTAGCTGCTGTTCTACTGGGTTTAGCTTCTAGCTGCTGTTCTATTGAGTTTAGCTTCTAGCTGCTGTTCTGTTGGTTTTAGCTTCTAGTTGCTCTTCTGTTGTTTTTAGCTTCTAGCTGTTTTGTTAGTTTTAGCTTCCAGCTGCTGTTCTGTTGGTTTGAGATTCTAGTTGCT